TATATGTGACCTTAGAATACTTTTAATTTCAATTTCCTCCTCTGTCAGCTTTCACTTTATTATTATTTAGCATTTTAGTTTGAATAATTTTTTTTATAGTTTGCCAATGTGTTAGCCAATTTCTAGCTTACGAATGCTTCTCCATCCTTCTCTGTTCAGCTTTCCTTCAGTAATGCTTTTAGTGAGAATCTATGAGTAGTAAACTCAGTGTTTATCTTAAAAACCCTTATTTCACTGTTACTATTTTTGTTTTGTTTTTTGTGTTTTTGAGACAAGGTCTCACTCTGTCACCCAGGTTGAGCGTGATCATAGCTCACTGCAGTCTCAAATTCCTGGGCTCAAGTGATCACCTCAGCCTCCCACATAGCTAGGACTATAGGCACACACAACCATGCCTACCTAATTTTTTTATTTTTTGTGAAGACGGGGTCTTGCTATGCTTCCCAGACTAGTCTCAAACTGCTGGTCTCAAGCAATCTTCCCACCTCAGCCTCCCACAATGCTGGGATTACAGGCATGAGCCACCATGCCCCGCCTTATTGTTACCCTTGCATGATAGTTTAGTGGAGTATAAAGTTCTAAGGTTGGCAGTTTTTGTCCTTTAGTACTTTGGAGATTTTATTTCATTTGATTTCAATTTAGATTCTACACTTGCACACCAAGCAGACCTAGGGTTCTGATTTCCCTTGGGTGATTTTTTTTTTTCCCCAAGGATTTGCAAGTATCCCTCCTTTCGCAGCTGACAGGCAGGATTCTTCTCTGGGACAGTTCCTCAGGGCTCATACCTTTATTAATAAAGCTTGACCCAACTCTGCCCCTGTGGCATAAGGCCATATATCCTGTTACGAAGTGGCCACTGAAGGCCTAGCCCTTTCTCCTAAGGCCTATATTCAGGTCCCAAACTCCTGTGGGCAACCCACAATGTCAGCTCCTGATTTCTGCTTTGGTCTTGTTTTTTCTTATATTTCTGACACATAGAGATTCCCTTTCTTTTGTAGCTATGTATTGGTAAAAATGTTTTTTGCTTACATATACATATATCCCACTTAGCCTGGAAATGGAAGCTTCTCCTGAAAAATAGTATTCTACTGGGTTGTTAAAGTAGAGTCCCCATAAAGAGGCATGTCTTGGCAATCCTTCTTCCCCTTGCTTTCAATCTTACATTGACATGCCTCTGGTTTCTTTTAGCCCCTATTCATGTGATTCATTAGTCTTTCTAGGCCACAGTAGTATTTGTGAGTCTCTTCATAGTATTTCATAATGTCAATAGATGTCTACCCACTTGATTATTGCATTAGTTTGCTATTACTGTGGAACAAATTCCATAAACTTAGTGGCTTAAAACAACACCTATTTAATAGTATTTATTAGGGTCTCATTAGGCCCAAATCAAGTAAGTTGTCATTTGAGGCTCTGGGGAAGAATCTGCATCTAAGCTTATTCTGGTTGTTGGCAGAATCCAGTTCCTTGAGGTTGTAGGACTGATGTCTGTATTTCTTCTTGGCTGGCAGCTGGGGGTCGCTCTCAGCAACTGTAAGCTACTCTCAGGTCCTTTCCACATGGCCCCCTCCATCTTCAAAGCTAGCAGTGGAGGATTTCTCTCATATTGAATATTTTCTCTCTGACTTCCCTTTCTCTTACCAGCTGGAGAAAATGCTCTGCTTTTATTTTTATTTTATTTTATTTTATTTTATTTTATTTTATTTTATTTTATTTTATTTTATTTGAGTCAGAGTCTCACTCTCTTGCCTGGGCTAGAGTGCCGGGGCATCAGCCTAGCTCACAGCAACCTCAAACTCCTGGGCTCAAGTGATCCTACTGTCTCAGCCTCCCGCGTAGCTGGGACTACAGGCATGCGCCACCATGCCCAGCTGATTTTTTCTATATATTTTTAGCTGTCCAATTAATTTCTTTCTATTTTCGTTAGAGACGGGGTCTCATTCTTGCTTAGATTGGTTTCAAACTCCTGACCCTGAGCAATCCGCCTGCCTCGGCCTCCCAGAGTGCTAGGATTGCAGGCGTGAGCCACCACGCCCGGCTGAAAATGCTCTGCTTTCAAAGGGTTTATATTATAGGTTAGGACTATTTGGACAATCTCCTAGTTATATCTGCAAAATCCCTTTTGCCATGTACTATAATATAATCATGGGAGTAACCACGGGGGTGAACATTATGGGGCCATCTTAGAATTCTACATATCACACCTGCTGATATTTACTGTTTCTTTCCTTGAGCAATTTCCCATGAGTGCACCTGGAGCTGCAGTAAAACTTACATTTTAATATTCATTGCAATGCTCTTTCTTTGGTTTTGAGAGGTTTGGCAATGTTACAGTACTTGTATATCTTTTGTCATCCTTTATGAGTCAAACCGTTTTCTGGTACATAGAATATACCACAGAAAAAGTGACAAGACACATTGTAGCACTCACATGACTCAGGGTAGTGTGTGTTACAAGGTATGTGTATATTTTATCCTGCATGGCCATGTGTTTTCTTGGAAAGGGGGACCACGTGTTAGTCTGCCAGGCTGGTAGAAGTCCCCATCAGACATGTTTTATTCATCTTTGTATTCCTAACATATAGCTCCGAACATATGGTTAATTCATAATAGGTGTTAGATAAATGCTTTTTAGAGAACACTGTGGAACTTGAATATTTTTGTGTTCCTCCACCTTGTCTTCGATAATACATAATTTCTTAAATGATCCAAATTAATTTTGTTGCTGCATTTGAAACTAACAATGTATTTCCGTTCTTCTCTTTCTTCTTCTTTTTTTTTTAACTATTCGTATTAATCATTTTGCTTGTCTTTTGAACATTCAAGTAAATTGTCTTTCTATTTGGTAATAGACGGTTGTCATGACAGCATTTATTAAGCAGTAATTCTCATCCTATTGTTTTTGTTACTTCTAGTTTGTTACAGAGCAAGCCTTAATAAAAAGTCATTTTGGTTTTTACATTTTAGAAGATTTTTTTTTGTTTTATAATGAGTATTAGACTCTATTGTCGCCTTTTCTTCTCATTTCCCAAATATCCTTCCATATTTTTGCCCGTTTATATTTTAAAATTAATTTTATTAAGTATTTTAAAGCATTTTGAGTTTTAATTCACTCTTTTTCTGTTAACTCAACATATTATCTTTTTAATGTTTTTACTGTTATTTTCATTTATTTTATGTTGCATCTATTCCCGTGCCGTAAGTTTTTGTTTCTTCAGTTTCTTCTGGGATATCTTTTTCTTCTGTGCAGCCTCCTCTTCTGGTTTTGGAACAATCTGTTCCTTTTCAGTGAGGATCATTTCGATGTGGCAGGGGGACCTCATGTTTGGATTAATACCAACCATGAGTTCTGTAAGTTCGGCGACACATTTTGGGTGCCTTGTTCACCTGGATATGCTCAATGACCAGAGAATCTACATCCAAACCTTTAAGTTCAGCATTACTCCCTGCATTTTTAAGCATGTGCAGCAAAAATTCAGCACTCGTTTTGGGCCACCGACCCTGTGCCCAGCCCCACTGTTTGACCTGGGCACACCTAGCAACTTCAGCATTGTAATGTCAGAAGGGTACACATTGTTTCTTTCTTTCTTTCTTTTTTTTTTTTTTTGAGACACAGTCTCGCTTTGTTGCCCAGGCTAGAATGAGTGTCCTGGCGTCAGCCTAGCTCACAGCAACCTCAAACTCCTGGGCTCAAGCAATCCTACTGCCTCAGCCTCCTGAGTAGCTGGGACTACAGGCATGTGCCACCATGCCCGGCTAATTTTTTGTATATATATTTTTAGTTGGTCAATTAGTTTCTTTCTATTTTTAGTAGAGACAGGGTCTCGCTCTTGCTCAGGCTGGTTTCGAACTCCTGACCTCGAGCAATCCGCCCGCCTCTGCCTCCCAGAGTGCTAGGATTACAGGCATGAGCCACCAAGCCCGGCCCTTGATGGCTTTTTGTATATGCATACCCTTGATGGCCTGGGCAGTTTCACGAGGGTTCTTGAAGTGAACACGAAGATTTGAACCTCGTGACTTGCATGATTTTGTGGGGTTTTCTGGGTCAAGTGAATAGCAAACCATTTTCACAAATCACCTCAGGCCGCTTGAGGGGAAGAAGAAGAGCAGTCAACATATTATCTTTAATATTTATTNGCTCTTCGGGTGTGTGTGTTCATTCATCTATACTAATTGTCCAACCACCGTTGCCTTACATTTTTTTTTTTTTTTTGAGACAGAGTCTCGCTTTGTTGTCCAGGCTAGAGTGAGTGCCGTGGCGTCAGCCTAGCCTCAACAGCAACCTCAAACTCCTGGGCTCAAGCAATCCTCCTGCCTCAGCCTCCCAAAGTAGCTGGGACTACAGGCATGCGCACCCATGCCCGCTAATTTTTTATATTTTAGTTGGCCAATTAATTTCTTTCTATTATAGTAGAGACAGGGTCTGCTCTTGCTCAGGTGGTTTTGAACTCCTGACCTTGAGCAATCGCCCGCCTCGCCTCCCAGAGGTAGGATTACAGGCGTGAGCCACTGCGCCCCCTTACATTTTTAATAGATAGCAGGAGAGACTATTTGAAAAGAGATGATCTACTAGAGTTCCAGAAGTTTTACAATATTATTCATAGTTTTCAAACATTACTGAATCTAACTTATAAAAGGTCAGTGACATGTATTGCTTGAAGAGTTCAACTGTTTCTTTCTTAATAATTTATCCTTGTAATTGATCTCATAGGTTCTAATGCCTTCCCATAATCCTCCCAGCCAGCCTGGAGTTCAGCCCAGCACACGTGGAGGAAAGCCAAGTGCTCACAGTCAGCCGGGGAGCACAGAGCACAGCATCCCAACACTTCCGCTAGCACTGTCCCTCTGGTCCACCCTATCTGAGCGACCCATATCTCTTACTACTGCCTCCAGGACAGGTAACTTTTAAAAATACAGTTGGGAGAAATGTGCTGAAGACAGGCTGTGGATTTGGTAGTGACAACTTTTAAAGTTTACCATTCCCTCCAGGCACTTTTGAGCATCTATCATGTGCCAGAAACAGTGCTGCTTACTGGAAATAAAAAGATGATTAAGACATTGTCTTTCCCTCAGGGACTCGGTAGTCCAGGAGAGGAGACTGACAGGTAAAGAGATGGTTCTGATGCAATATGGTAAGTGCTGTGAGAGGCTGCTATGGGAGCGAGAGGGGCACCCTGAGTCACGGGGAGAGGCCAGGGAAGCCTTCCAGGGAAATGGTGCTAGGGGAGAGTGAGCTGGCAAAACTGAGGTTGGCCTTTCATTCAGGTCGAGGGAGCAATATGTGTAGTGACAGTAGCGATAATCGTATTTACTGAGCACTTCTGGAGCGCCAGGCACCATGCTCGGTGCTTCCGTGTGTCATCTCATTCATTACTGTGCAAGGAAAGAGAAGTACAAGAGCTTATTGAAATTGTGGAAGAACTGTAAGAAGTTCATTGTGGCTGGAACTAGAGTGGGAAACAGGGCAAGAATTTGAAACGTCATATATTTTTTGCTAAGGAATCTGTGCTTTATTGGATGGATATAGAGAATCAGTCACTGAATGGTTTTAAGTAGGAAAGCAAAACGAGCAGATTTGTATTAAGAAAATAGTTTGGACTTGATTGGAGGCAAGAACCCATTAGAAGGCTATAGCGAGTGTGTTGCAGGATGAGAGAAGGAAGTAGATTCAAGATATAATAAAGGATCAGAATCATTGGGATTTGGTGAGTGATTGAATGTCAGGATGAAGGAAAAGGACTCTGAGATATATGAACATATAGAACTGAAATTAGACGAGTGGTTGGGTAGAAGATAAAGGATTGGGAGTCATAGGTATAGAGGTGATAATTGAAGACATGGGGGCAATATGAGATTATCCAGGCAGAGGAATACTTTGGGGATGTCATCATATAAGGAGCTGGAAGAGCAGAGGGAGCCTGCAGAGCTGACTGGGTGATTATGCCAAAGGGGTAGGAGATAAAGAGGAAAGCATGGAATGAGGGAAGAAAGGGAGGAGAGAATTCTGTAGAAGAGAAAAAAACAATTTTCCCTCTACCCTTCTAAGTTATCTGGAGCCCCTGTAACAAAAAACAAACGGGCGTTTATTAACATGTATGTTTCATATATACATGGGAGCTATCCAGGGAGATAGTTAAATCTCAAAGAGATAGGCTAGAGCACCAGTTTATATAGCATTTTCAACTGAAACAAAGAAAGGTGTGGGGAAGGCAAGTGTTGGAAGGTGCCCAGAACAAGCAAGGTAAGCAAGAGGAAGGCTTGTTATGCAGAGTTAAGTCCCTGCTTTCTCTGTTGATATGAGTCTCTTGGGATTTAGTCATTTTTCTGCTTCTGGTACAAAAGGGAGATACCCTTACAAATAGGAAATGACATTTCCTTTCTGGATGTAAATTCTCCTCACAAAAGGATAACTTCTACTCTGTATTCACAGCTTCTCCTTGTCTGCTGTTTCTCAAAAGAATCATCTTGGAATAATCCTTATACTAAAGAGGCATATTTGCAGTGGCATATTCTAGTCTCCTACAGTCATATTTTGGGTTGGCATATTCTGGTCTCCTGTAGTTCCAAAAAGGAAGAAATAATTG